CATCTTACGCTTGGGGAAGAAGAGCCTTTAAAAATGTGTGTAGGGGGAATGGACAGAATTTTCTGAGAGTAAAACTGAAAATCGAATCTGAAGCTACTCGAATAGCCGGAGGCTGCCTCTGGTACTTCACCTGGGGATTGCGCTCTTCAGTCCATCTTCTGATGGATTTATTTACTCTGCTTTAGTTTGCATCCTGGAGTGGTCTTGTACTGCACACATTTGGATTTTATTTTAAATGAAATTTAGTGGGAAGATGTGTGTCAGCTGCTCATGAGTATTCAGGCCCAAGTAACCTCCCTGAAATGAGCACAGAATAAGGTGTGTTGGTTTTTTTCCTTTAGCACCAGCTGCTCTACTCTACATGTCCCTCTCTTATTGGGCTGCTGGACTTGTCAGACTATAGCTACATTAACAAGCTTCAGTTTGTATGAGGAAGCAGGAGTAGGCTCGATAAGAAATGTGCAGAAAGATGTATAAGCTCAGTGAAATGATTTGTGAGAAGGCTGGGGGGAAGACCCACTTTGTGGTATGGTGTGTGTTATACTATTTTATTTAACCAGAAGACTTGCTTAAAAAAAAAACCCTACCCTGCAACACAGTCACTGTTCACAAAAAAAAAACCCCAACCCCCCCAAAAAACCCTACCACCAAACAAACAAAAAAAAAACCCAAACAAAAAAACCTCCCCCAAAACAAACCACTACCACCCCTCCAACCACAAAAAAGAACTCCAGACCAACAAAAAAGCCCCCACAACACGGCAGTGCTGTTACAGTAGAGGCTGTTGTGGTGTTTTCCCTTCCGCTTTTTAAGGTTTGTTGTGCAGCTCTGCTCTCTGGGTGCGGGGCTGCGTTTTGATCTGGGTGGGGGGAAATCAATTCTATTAATAACTTAGCTTCTCAAAGCGAAGACCTCCAGCAGCTGGCTGTATTGGACAGTTACATGCTCTTCTGGAGTACTTCGTTGCATGTATGTTAATGTATAGTAAAGAGTGTGCTTCTGTCAGAAACATCTTCTGAGCCCTGTGTGAGAGTGCATGGCAGAGGTCTTTAAGTAGTCTCAGTGTAGGACGCTGCGGGATTTTTAATGTGCCTGTTTCATTGGAAGACCTATGGAAGTGTTTTATTCATTGGTTATATGAAGATACTGTAGCTTCTCCAAATGAGATTGCATCTTGGAGTATATGTTTAAAAACAAAACAAAAACAAAAACAAAAAACCCCACTAAACCAAAATTATGGGGGTAAGGGAGAAGTGTTTTGGGGAAGCTAAGAAATTAGATGCTTGTACAAGAACTCTAAGACAATTTTTACTTTTCTGGAGTAAAATTTGACTTTTTTGTTCAGTCTGTCATGATTGCATCCAAGGTTGTTCTTCCAGGGTATGCCATCTGTTTTTCTGTTTTATTTAGTGCTTAATTTTTTTTTCTTGGAGTTGCTAAAAATGTCCTCAGAATAACTCAATAAACACTTCTTATCTGAGAACAGAACTGTTAGTGTGGTCAGAGTTCAGGGTCATGGAGCTAAGCTTGTAAGAAGTACAAAAACCCCAAAAGACGATAAAAAAAAAACTGCTGAAATTAATGTTATGGAGAAAGCTGGGACTATGTGCTTCCAGTCCTTCTGGACTGGTTTGAATAGCATGAGCTGTAGAAAACTTAAATGTTTTTGAATGCCAGTGGTCCCAGCAGGCTCAGGTAAGGATTTGAGTGGTCCTCTGGCCATGCTAGAGGACTGTCCTCCCCCCCGCCCTCCCAGTGGGTTGTTGTCCTGCCTTCAGAAAACCTCCTTAATTGAAAAAGCAGTGATACACCTACACTGCAAAGTAGCTGTCTCGATTTCATGCTGTCAGCTTTGGCGACACACTTGCACAGGCAAATACCTTCTCCAGAAGGTAAACCAAGCAAGGCATTTGCTCTTTGGTTGCAGCAGATCTGAGGCAAATGGACCTGCTGGGGTTGCTGCGGCTTGGCAAACCTCTTGCCCATGGGTCCAGGCTCCTTCCCATCGAGCAGCGTAGCTTTGGCTGCTCGCGCCAGACCTGTTTTTGCCCAGGAGCTTAGTGGTGTAGCTGTGCTCCTGGGTCTGCTCGGCATTTAGATTTGTCACCTGCATTAGACTCGGAGTTGCGGAGGTGGTGCTGGGCATCTGAACTCTCCTGTCTGCAAACTTTGTGGGATAATGCAGTAGCGTTACCTTGAAAAGAGGGACAGTTTCTTTACTTCTGAAGTGTACAAGTTTTTTGAGGTTGAATGTTTTACTTTTCATGCACGTGTGTGTGAAAGAGGTATAAGAGGGGATTCTGGTGAAAAGGCAAGTGGAGTTTTTTTACCAGGAACCATGAAAACATTTTAAGAAGGAAAAAAAAAAATATTTGGAGCCTTTAGTGTCTTTGGAGTAAGTGTGGCAAATCTGATATTTGAGTTGTCCCAGAAGAACTGATGGAAGGTTTGGCTTGGCCTGAGCCATGCAGGTGGCACTGGAAGCTCTAAGTAGGCTTGAATGTATGTGTACTCTGGGGTGGTTGGTGAGGGTTGATTTTGGAGCTCTAAGTAATGTGATCAGGATAAACAATTCCTTTAAATATAATTATTATAGGAAAGAGGGCAAGTCCCATAGTCAGTAGTATGCTTATGCTGTGTACCAGGCACTTTGTAACCATTATGTTATTTAGGAGAGAATGTAAGAACTTGGGAGAATTTTTGCCTGTGTTTTGAGGTTGAGAATTAGTCTTAAATCCTTGGCGTGGAACAGGAGGCTAGCAGCAGCCCCATAATGTTTAGTGACGAGAGAGCCTGGCTGCCAGTGGTCTCCAGCTTTCTACATCTTCTGGCTCTGGGTAAACAGCTTTGGAAAGGAAAGGGCTTTGAAGTTTTCTTCTACTGCTGGGGCAAAAACCATTACAGGATGCTAAACTGAGGTGATGGCATGATTATTTTAATCGTTCTTGAGATGTTTAAATGCTGATTTCCATAAATCAAATCACAGTTTCAGAATAATTATGCTGTGCGTTTGGTTATTTTTTCATTTGATCAGAGTCATTGCAATGTCTGGCTCCAGTTTTGTGTGACTCATCTGCGATTTAAATACCTCTTGCCAGAATCTTCATGCACTTAGTATGAAAAAGTGATTTAATCAAAGTAGTATTGGTATAAGCCATAACTTCCCTGAAACCTTGTAGTCATTTACACTGGGGTCCATCCAGTGCCTTTTTCTTCATGTTGAGCGTTACGTGACAGAAAAGTTTAAGGCTGGTGTTTGACAGGTCTGGAAGGGGACACAGCAGGGTCAGTGCAGAGATGAGAGCCAGAAGGTACAGCATCCGAGAGATGGGCTCTATGTATTTTAAAGTGGAATTGAAATTCCTCGTCCTATGTGCAGGCCAGGTACCGTTGCCGTTGTCGTCCTCCCTCCTGTGCTGTGCTGGCACCCTTTGCTTCGTGTCTGGGAAAGGGAGGTACGGTGTGGAGCATGACCCTGGACGGCCTTGTGGCCCTGCTTTCTGCAGAGCAGGTGTCCTGAGCCCGGGTGAATTCAGGGAGGCAGTGGGACTAATCCTGTGCCGTCACACAGGCTATGCAGAATGGGGCTGCTGTGCTCGGGGGCTTCCCGGGCTGGCAAGCTGCCTCCTCCTGTGCAAAACTGTTCTTCGTTACCGATTTCCGAGGTGCGAGTGCTCTTTCCGAGAGGCTGTACAGGTGTAGCCTTTCGAGAATGTGATGATGACCTCAAGGAAGGTAGAGTCATTCAGGCTGAAACTTTGATCTCAGCCTTACTGGGAATTCAAAAGTTAAAATTACCCATAGTCTTTTATTCTAACTTTCACTTCTCTCTTAGCAAGGAAGTAATTGTGCTGGCAGAAAAAAAAAATTAAAAATATATGAAAATTATATACAGAATATAGAAAATTATATATAGAAAAACAGATGCTTTTTCTTCCTTTCACATTCACTTGAAAAGAAATTTTCTGTGAGAAGTCTGTCCGTGTAAGTTCTCTACCTACAATTATCAGCCCAGTTTTCAGAAGTGATCTTGCTCAGGGATATATTTTATATAGAATATATTTTATGTAGAATATTATGCTTAGTTAATTTAGCAGGTTACCTTAGAGTGTAGGTTTTCTATGGCTCAGCTCCTGAAATTGGCATATCTGAAAGTATGAGGCTAATATTTAGTTTCCAAATCTGAATTGAAGGGGGGGTGGAAATTGGTGCCTCTGCCCCCTACAGCTGTGTCGCTGATGTGCAGACTTCTGCAATGGGACGGTATATAACTTACAGAGAGCACTTGCCTTTCGTGAATGGGTTAGATTACTGTACATCTTAATTTAACCAGAAAGCTGCAATGGTTTATGTGAACATACACACGCCCCTGAGGTATTTTGGGCCCCATCATATGGCCTGCTTGCTTTCACTTTCATCACGGTGAAATTGTTGGAGTAGCGACAGTCGTGTCACTTGTCCATCTCTTCTCAGAAGCCTGATGGTGCTTACAATGAGTAGGTTGGATAGCTTGTGTAACAGGTAGCATTGGCTCGCAATTAAGAGCTTTTAAGTTATTTTACACCATCATTGGTAAATATTTGAATTGGTTACTTATGTTACTGAACACGACAGTACTTTTGTATGTAGAAATGCTGGGGTTTTTTACATGAAAGCTGAGTTTTTAATAGCACAAAGGTAGTTCCCCCACTTGAAAAATTACTCGTAGTGGCCTGCTGCAGATTATCTCAGCCCTGCCCTGTGCGACCAGCAAAAACGCTGCCTGCTGTAACCTGCTGCTGCCGCAGTCCTTGTGTGCTGAAGAGTGTGCACTGGTGGTAGGGCATGATGACCTTGCTACTGGCCGTAAGACACTAAATAGGAAATAACTTCAGGCTAGCTCGTTTGGAAAATATACTCGTGTCCTGATTTTTTTTTAGAAGAGGAAGCTGCTGCAAAGCTTGGAAAGGTGAATGCAGAATTCTCACCCGCTTTTTCTTTTTTTCTCTCCCTCTGTAGGTATGGCCTCACAAGTCTTGGTCTATCCACCATATGTTTATCAAACCCAGTCAAGTGCCTTTTGTAGTGTGAAGAAACTCAAACTAGAACCAAGCAGTTGCGTGTACCACGAAAGAACCTACCCGCAAATCTATGTGAATGGTAAAAACTTTGGAATTTCTCCCCGCAGGGTTAGTACGTACTTTCAGACTAAAAACCCATTTGACAGACCTCGAGGACGGAACTTCTTGTTGCAGTCAAATGCTGTTGCTTTAAAAAATATTGCAGGTGCTACAAAAGCGTTAGCAGCGCGGGCGCAGCAAGCTCAGTTAGAGGCACCTCGGACTGGGACGCAAGGAAGCCGATCAGATATCCTGGAAGGAACCCAGCGATGTGGATTGAAGCGTAAGAGCGAAGAGCTGGATAATCAAAACACCACGATGCAGATTGTTGATGAACTGTCCATCCTGCCTGCAATGTTGCAAACCAACGTAGGAAACCCAGTGACGGTTGTGACAACGGCTGCAGCTTCAAAACCAAGTGGTACAAGCGGCGATGGAGATTACCAGTTAGTACAGCATGAGGTATTGTGCTCTGTGAAAAACACTTACGAGGTTCTTGATTTCCTTGGGCGAGGGACCTTTGGACAAGTAGTGAAGTGCTGGAAAAGGGGGACAAATGAGATTGTGGCAATCAAAATCTTGAAGAATCATCCTTCGTATGCACGCCAAGGACAAATAGAAGTGAGCATACTAGCGAGACTAAGTACTGAAAATGCTGATGAATTTAACTTTGTGAGAGCCTACGAATGCTTTCAGCATCGTAACCATACTTGTCTGGTTTTTGAGATGTTGGAACAGAATTTATACGACTTCCTGAAACAAAACAAATTCAGCCCTCTGCAACTGAAAGTAATACGGCCTATTCTGCAACAGGTGGCCACTGCACTGAAAAAACTAAAAAGTCTGGGTTTAATCCATGCTGACCTCAAACCAGAGAACATTATGTTGGTGGATCCTGTTCGGCAGCCTTACCGAGTTAAAGTAATAGATTTTGGGTCTGCCAGCCATGTATCAAAGACTATTTGTTCAACCTATTTACAATCTCGGTATTATAGGTAGGTGTCTTTTTACTTTGTTTTTAACTTTTAGTGGAACAAGGTTTTAGCGTTTATTAAAGTTAATGGCTTAAATAATTACTCTTCCAGCTAACTAATAAGAATAATTTGGAAAACATAAGGACCATCTAAGGATGAAGGCCATACTAAAATTAAGTGGTCGGTTACCGTTTTAAATGTGAATATTTGCTTGGAATGTTTTTATAGTGCGATTTTTTTTTTTTTTTTTTTTTTTTTTTCTAGAAGTATGTTTTGTGTTGCACTCTGAAGTCATCACTTTCTGTTATTTTGAGACCTCTGAGACTTTTTAAAAGGAAAACAGAAAAAAAAATGAGCTTGATTAGGATGCCTTTCCTGCCTTCCTAACATGATGGGTTTTTTCTGTAAGCAGCTGGACAGTGAACTAGAAGTGCTGTATTTTTATATCCTGTTGCCAAAAGATTATGTAAATGCCTCTGTTTTTCTCCAGCACTTGTAAATATTTTTCCTAGTTCATATAAACTCAGTTCTGATTGAGTGCCTTCAGCAGCTGTGGACTTCAGTGAACTTCTGGAGTTAGTCAGTGATAGGATACTTAAATGTTTAAGGTGATACCAGGCAGGCATTTAAAGTGATTTTTGTACATGGTTGCGTTCTGCATTGGCCTCAAAATGGAGGTATATTTCTGATTCTGTTTTTTAATCCTTCGTATAGTTATCCAATCTGTGTGACATGTAAAAGCTAATAGTATTTAGCATCTGAGGTCCTTTCGTTTTCTTTATAAGCTGAACTTGTCTTGATTGCAGATCTCTTTCAGTTCTGCTTTGCGTCATTGGTGATAGTATGTCCTGGGTATTGCCTGTCTCTGCAAATTCAGTAAAAAGCTAGTAAACTAGGACAATGAGTAACTTCGAGATTTTAAATATTTTACAGCTATTCATGTTGGAAGTGAAAACTTATGGCTCATTAGACATAGCATTGTTGTGCTTATTCAGTTGCTACACGCAAATTTTAGCTGTAGTTTTGTTTTACTTGGGTTGATGTTCCTTTGCACCTATACTTTATATAGAATTTTGACATGCTTGCTAGGTTGAGCAGGTCTGTATGCTGGGAAGATCAATGTGCAACTCCTTGGCACCTTGTGTGCATTTTGACCACTAGCGTTGCATTACGTGCACTGAAGTGTGAGTAAGCGGGGTTTGTTGTGGATGTACATTCAAAAATATTCTCCCCTTCTTCCCCCCAGGAATAAATCTCGTGGGTGTATGCACTTGTCTTACCTCAATGATGTTGAATGATATTTATGTAGACTCATATAACATGCGCACCTAAAATTCCCTAGTTACTAAGTTGCACTTAAGTGCTTTGTAACTATTCAGGCTGTTCAGTATAAGATCATATTCTTTTATCTTGTATAGTTTTATAATCCTTCTATAAAGCAGCATTGAAGTCAGTATTTTTTGAGAGTAAAAAGGACGTACAAAAAGAAAAAAGGTTAAGCTCTGTCTACTTGAACAGTTTTGGTGTTATATTTAAATATTGGTTGAGATAATTTTGAAACTGACTTAATTTTGAAAAAAAATATGATGCTATACTTCAAAATTATTTTCAGCAAAAAGTTTACTTCTGAAAAGTTTTTTAGCATGCTGGATTTCGTCGTGGATGCATAGCTTTCTACCAGTTGTGTGATTCAAATTAACTTTGTGTAGCTTGGCATGCAGTTTCTCAAACTTTTTTTGTATTGCTTTAGGAGCACCTGACTAGAGTAAATAATATCAGAAAATAGGGATTTCATCCAAAAGGTCTCAAAATAGATGATGCTAGGGAAATTTGAGGAGAAAAGCCTTGAAGAAGAATGAGAAGGGCCTTCAGAGAATATATTGTATTGAGATGGAATTTATTTTGCAAGCGATTGTGCTTCTTGTCAATCAAATAAGGAGCTACTTCATAAAATATAACTGTACTTAAATGTTTTTTGTATTAGAAGAGGGTGGGAGTGGTAGTGCAGGTTTGACTTGTTTAACTATGACATGTTGAAACAAACCCTTTAAAAAAAAAAATCAAGCAGCAGTTGGGATGTTGAAATATCTTTTTTTTTTTTTTTTTCTTTTTTCCCTTAAGCTCAGTGGTGCTATGTGTTTGTTTAGGTTATTTAGCAAGAAAGCATTCATTTAAATAGATTTTTATTTAAAGCTTCATGCTAAATTAATCCAATTAGGGTTCAATTTGGAAATTTTTTTTAAAAAAATGCTTGTTCCCTACAGCACCTGTTTTGTTAGCGTGATCCCATCTGTATTCTTGTATACAATCTTTGAAAGCTGTTTCTGTGCAAGCTGTATGTGTGTTGTCGTCAGGTTTACCTGTGATTCTTACCAGTGGGGATCCTTGTCTGTTCAGAGATGACAGTGCATGGGATTTTGAGTCACCAAGTGACAGGCACAGCGCACCATGTTTACCTAGGAAATATCCCTATATTTAGTGGGAAATATCCCGTTAATGTCAATGTGATGTGAACCTGGCCTCTTCTGAAGTGCAAAAGCACTCAGCCAGGGGCAAGCATTTAAAGAAAAACGTATTAAGGAGAAGCATTTTGTTTTTAAATGACTATTTTATGATCAGAGGTCTTAGAAAAGGATGGAATGAAATGCCCTTAAACAGCGGCGTAGGATGAGAGGGCTGCGAGGAAGCAGGGCTGCATCCCCGCAACATTGGGATGCTGCTTCTCAACCCTGCAGTGCCGGTGCCGTCCTGCTCCGGGGTGATACTAACCCCATCCCTGTCCCTCGTTCTGCTCACCCCACATCTGCCCGAGGGCCCGTGCCAGCGTGAGGAGGGAGGGAGGTGGCATGGGGAGAAGGGAGGAACTGTTATTTCTGGCAGCACTGTTAACTTATGCCATGGTCATTTTCAAGAAGAGGACTTGCCCTTTCTTTATGGAAAGCGTATGCCCACCAGTGTCTGTGGAGGCCTATGTTGAATGCTCAAGAGAAACCCATAAAGAAGTTTTGCAAAAGTGACTAAGGAGAAAGGTTACCTTTTTTTTTTTTTTTTTTTTTTTTTTTTTTGTGAGTTTGGACAACGCCACAAAATCTACTGTTAAGGTGTTTATTTTGAATGGTAGTATCAGTATTTTGCCTCTGTAAGAGGAAGTGAGTAATGAATTGGAAAAATAAGTAATAAGAGGATTAGGACTTAAGGCAGGGAATGTAATACTGCCAGGTGAATGGATAATGAGCTGACTTACCTTACTTACCTTAGTCTGTAGCAGAGGTGACATAATGATGACTACTGGAGACATGACAGTACTTCTGAATTTTAAAAAGCTGTAGACAAGCAGAAAAGTGGAGAGGAACTGGATGGAGTGATAATGATTTGAGGTTTTTCTGTTTCAGCTTTGTCAAACAAAGAGAAAGTAAGAAAATGGTTAAAACAAGTATAAAACTACGTTTTGACATTTCGTTACCTTTTGGAAACTCCTGGCTGTTACGTATTGCTAGAAATTAGAGTATTAATATGAATAAATACTAACCACTGTACACTGTCTTAAGTCACAGATTATTATTTTTTGTTTGTTTTAAAGATGAAATGTTATTCTGAATACTGTTTCCCTAAAAGACAGTGTCTGTGCTTACACGCTGTTTTTATGCTGGTCTGGATTTTAATAGCTGTGGGCTAGAGAGATCTGGTATTTGAAGCCTTTTCTTTGCTGCTGGCCCCACACGTTAAGACTGTTGACCTTTTATGAGTGATCTAAGTAGGTAAATAACTACGCAGTGTATACATTTTGAAAAGAAAAAACCCCTTATACAGCAGAGGTGATCAAGCTTTTCTCATATATGGAAATGGTATGATAAGTATGTCCCTGTCCTTTTGGTCAGCTGTGCCCCAAATCATGAAGAGAGGAATGTTGCATCCAAAAATCAAAAGCTTCTTTTCCCCTTATCACATGGCGCAGGCTGCGGAGGAGGGGAATCGACACGTTTCTCTTATTTCTAAGCCTGGTGTCTTGCGTTTGTCTGGTGAGGCAGAAAGTTTTCCCAGGGCATGGTGTTTCCCTCTGGAAGTCATTTTCCTTTGTTTTGCCTTTCCTGAGGTTACATGTATTTAGGGAAGTGGGTGTGAGAAGAGGGGCTTCGGAATGGCAGGCTCCAAGGGGCCGTAACCTACAAGAAGAATCGAGTGAGCTGAAATGGTCAAGGTAGTCCTGCCCGTCTGCTCCAGGGAGCCGAGTTACTTTCCTTTCTGTTGCCGTGAGAAGCAGTGGCCGCCTTAGCGTTTTGTGTTGAGAGAGAGCTCTTTAGGCCTGGTTTGGCAGCAGACTTCTTCTTTCTTCTCGTTCTCCCTCCAGGAGTGTTTTTCCAGAGAAACTTCTGTTGAAAGCTGTGTATAATTTCCCCTTTTTGAAATAGCTGTGTGCAACAGCAGTGGTTAAGGAGTTCTGTTTTACTCGTTGGCTAATACCCACATGACAGTTAGCGATGCCTTCTGCACACTGCCATTGTCCATACCGTTCAGTTGTTGTTCAGAGTGGGTAAAATTTTATTTAGAGGACTGACGGTTCGATCTCATGGTAACATCTATGTGGCAGGGTTTGGTAATGATGAAGCCTCTTCCTTCTCCATACTTTTCTTCTCCCACTTGTTTGGCTGTAACACCAACTGAATTCATAAAGTGCATCGCCATGTTTGCATTGCACGTCGAGTGTAAATCACTAAGGGAGCGCTATGGCAGTGTTTGTGTGTGCAGAGCTTCGTGATTTCTAGGGCTTGCTGTTGGTTGGGAGGAGTTACTGCTTAATTGTTTTTCAAGGGGAATCACCTTCATCTTGGGGTTGTCTTCCTAAAAGACAGGATTTTGAAAATGAGACTTAAGTAAACCTTACAAAATTTACCATTCATAAAATCCTTCTGATACCATGGGCTTAACAGTAGCCATTGCGGGTGTAGGAGTGAGTGTGTTACTTTGTTGCGTGCTCCTTATGCACAGCCTCCGAAGGGAGCTGAACAGTCGCTGCTCCGGTT